TTTATCTCTGCGCCACATCAAAAGGGCTCACTCTCAAAGCGTGCGTGTGTCAGGGGCCATTGTGATGCAGATGGAGCTAATACTGCTGCTTGCGCTGGCCCCGACCTCAGTCCTCAGTCCGACACGCCCCCTCCACGCGGGCTTAAAGCGAGAACTCCCAGAACAGCAGTCTATTTGACGGCTTTTAGTTTTGAAAGCGTAATTCTTCAGCGTGCATGTACATAGTTGTGCTTCCAAACTGTATGAATTTTTCCGTTTCCATATTTAGTTTATAGGCCATTATTATTTCATGAATATACACGTCGTTTCAGTCAAGAGCCAGTGCTATAGTAACCATAGCAACATACTGTTTACTTGTTGTAGCAGCTAGCATTTAGCTTGTCAACTAAATGGTTATTCTGTATTTAAAGTTATATTAAAAACTAAAACTACATTTTTATTTATTTATCTCAGAGTCATATGGATTTGAATGGTGCAGTCAAAATGACGGCTCTGGCAGTTCTAGTAGTTTCAGTATTCTGGGAGTCCTAGAATAACACAGACTGGGACTGCAAGGTGTGAGGAACTATAAGTCGGTTCAGAGCAGGCAGCACAGCGATTTATTGACAATGCGATAATTGTGACAGTCAAGGTTTACTGTATAGATCATACACAACTCAAAGTGCTTAACAAAACAACAAAACAAGAACTGAAAGACTCACATGATAAATAATCATATAGCATATGCCATACGTATGCAAAAAGCCAGATCCCGTCAGAGCTCTGCAGCTGTGCGGGGCAGGGCTTGGTCAGAACGAAGATGGGAGACCTCTGAGAATACCATGGTGTCGGTGGTTGGAAGGGCCGATGGCACATATACTGCCTCGCCTCTGTCAGAGTGTCCCAGGGCAGCTGGGGATATAGTCTAAACACTGTGTATGGAGTGAAAGAATAATGACACATGAAGAGTCTTTTATCGTCCAAAAAAAGCACCATTTAAAACCGATGCATTATTATTATTTTTATAATTGATATAACATTAAGTATACAGTTTATTTGTATCCACAGCAAAACAGAACTATTTGGATTTGAACATTCTCAGAGTAGAAGTCTGTCTCACATTTTCAGCAAGACTATCAGATTTTAGACAGCATACAAATCATACTCTAACACAACACCAATAACCACACCAACAATAATAGTAATATTTATAATAATATTGCATGCAAGTTATCTATATTTTCCCATTCATGTTGCTCAAATCTGGCCCAGTCTTCCTGAAAATGTGAGACAGGCTTCAACTCTAAGAATGTTCAAATCCAGGTTAAAAACAGATCTGTTTAGCTGCATGTGGATTGTATCTTCACTCTCTTTAATGTACTGTGATCATTTACGCTTTGAATGTTTCTTTATGAGCTGTGAAGAACCGTACTTTTACTTTTTACGTAAATAAACAAGCAAAAAAGTACAAAAAAAAATTGGCACTGTGAAACCAATGAACAAAAACAGTTTAAATAATAACTGTAAGATGCATCAAAGTGCTTTGTTGGGACTGATAAAAGCCTGTGGAAAGTCAAATATGTTCCAAATTAAATTAAATGATAACCACGAGTCTGGTGCCGTTATTCCGCCGCAGTAAAGACTAGCCCAAAATCACAAGAAACTATGAATGTGTATTTTGTCGTCTCTTTTCAACCTCTAAATTCAGACAATTGTTTGACTAATCGACTTTACTATTAAACCTGTTATTTGCAGCTTTACGTCAGAGGCCAAAAAGAGGAATAGCCATATTTGTAATCTGGTAATAATCTCTAAAAGCCCATAATCTTGTTTGCTTGTGTCCAGACCTCAGACCTCACGCTCTGCAGATGTTATTTACAGAGATGCTACAACAAGCCCCACTTCCAGATCTCCCTCGGGTTAAACGCACACGACGCACACATGTAGGAGGTGTCCCGGGGCAACAACAGAAATGGTTGGCATGTTGTTTGGACTCGTGTCGGCTTTACACCAAGGGAAAGAGAGGAATGTGTCCGGATAAAAGATGAGATAACTGTTTTTTGGACTGGCTGTAGAACCAAGACAGAGGCTGAAGATCCAGGACTGAGGCTGACGAACCAGGACTGTGGCTGTAGATCCAGGACTGAGGCTGTAGATCCAGGACTGAGGCTGTAGATCCAGGACTGAGGCTGTAGAACCAAGACAGAGGCTGAAGATCCAGGACTGAGGCTGTAGAACCAAGACGGAGGCTGAAGATCCAGGACTGAGGCTGTAGATCCAGGACTGAGGCTGAAGATCCAGGACTGAGGCTGACGAACCAGGGCTGAGGCTGTAGATCCAGGACTGAGGTTGTAGATTGATAAGAATCAGCCAAAGTCTGGGATCGTGTCTTTAATTCAGACAGAAGACATGTTTTATTGTTGATGGTAGACGCATGAACAAAGCACACGTACAAAAGATGTTAAAGACAGCGAGTGGTAATATACTCAGGAGAAACAGAGACCTCCAATCAGCAGCTGCCACGGTGTGCTTGTAGCTTGGCCTTCAGATAGACAAAACATCAAATGGAAAAGTACAGGCTTCTGCATATGTAAGAATGAAGTTAGAACTTTAACAATAGTTGCTTCAAAGTGTTATGAAATCTCTACAAGATCCAGGACTGAGGCCGTAGATCCAGGTCTGAGGCTGTAGATCCAGGACTGAGGCTGTAGATCCAGGTCTGAGGCTGTAGATCCAGGACTCAGGCTGTAGGAGGCTGGGTTCAGGGGTCCCATCATCACGCCAGGAAACAGACAATGGAACAGCGGATAAATAGCAATGAACAGACTACAGCTGAAGTCATGATGATGAAGATAAAGTACTAGAGAGGAAAGTGCTCACGAGAAAGAGTCAAGATGTTGCCAAAATATATATTTATATAAAGGTATCCTACTTCATGAACTTTTTTCTCATCTCGTCACAACAAATAAGATGGATATTGGATGTTTTTTATGAAAGACCAACACAAAGTGGTAGAGAATTGTGAAATTAAGGCAAATTAACATTTATTGTTGTTTTTTGTGTCTTGTAAAAGTATTCATCCCCATTTCTGAGTGCAAAAAATTGGCATTAGACGTTACCTTGTTATGAGAATATTGGTCTCTAAACTTATACTTTTCACACAGTGACAAACCTGGTGGTGGCAGCATCATGCTGTGGGGCTGATGTTCTTCAACATGGACATTTTGATGGGAGGGCAGCTGGAGGCTGAGGTGGAGATAGGCCATCAGGGCAACTTGCTTAACACATAAAGCCTTTTTCATACAATGGAATTTAAAACAAAACATTAAAATAAATAATCTGTAAAACATTTCAACTTCTGTCTACAAACCCTTTCGACCGATTGTAAAGAATGAGAAGTTTGCCAAAGAATTTAAACAAAACAAAGTTTGGCAGCCACAGATTTTATGTTAAAAAAAACGACAAAAACAAAAATACAAAAATCGAAATCTAATTTTGCTTTATAACTTCATAATTGTCTTTCACATTGTGCTGGTCTTTCACAAAACGTCAGATAGAGGATCTTAAAACGTGGAAAAGTGTCTCCTCCTCCTCCCCCCCCTCCTCCTCCTCCTCCCCCTCCTCCTCCTCCTCCTCCTCCCTCCTCCTCCATCTCGGCGCGCTGACGTCTGTAGCGGCGTCGTGCAGGCGGCCTGGATGCACGCGCTCCGTTTCCAATTATTGCCTGTCAATCATGTGCTTGAGGCTGCAGTGACAGGCGTACACGCACTCACCAACACGCACGCATACACACACACATGCACATACGCACACCACGTGCAGAGGCCATTTCAGCTCATTATCCCAAATGTCACATTATTCGGTGCAACATGTTTATAACCACGCCCCCCTTTGCGTCCTCTTGTTTTTTTGGAGTAAAGACAGTGATGATCCGGGCCATCGGTCCCGCCCCCGCTCGATTATGTTCAATTCAAATTAATTATTTAATTGTATATAACAACAACAGTCGTTTCAGAGGATTTTATAAAGATCTCAATTCCTCAACAGATCAGAATCCAACCGTTCGAACACGTAATAATATCAAACACTAAAGGAGCCATATAGGGAGTGGGATGACCATTAACATCACTGTCCTTAGACCATCCTGCAGTCCCAGCAGGAGGCCAGTCCCTGTGCTCCTCAGTTGGTTCATAAGGCACTAACATGTCACAGATTTGGTGCGAGGCCCTGGAGAGACTTGAACAAAAAGAGCTGCCTTTCTTTTTCTTCAGGGTTGAACCTTAAAGTGCTTTCAATAAACATAAAAGCATCTGAATGTTTTCCTGTTGAATGCCTTTAATTGCCACGTATCCTAAACGCAAACAGTGCATATCCAAACGTTAAAAAAAAACTCCGATTGGGACTGAGTGTACAGCCAGAGATGTTGAGGCGCACTGCAGACGCGCACTCATTGGCTGAGACCGGGCCGAGGTGCAGGCTCCTCCTCCGGCTCTTGACAAGCCCCTTCCCCGCTGTCAGAAGCAGCCACAGCGCAGTTACGTGTTGCTTTAAGTCCCAGTGGATGGACCGCAGCCTTCACAAAGCACCTCCGAGACTCCGAGAGGACATCGCCACATCCAAGACAGAAAGAGACGAGAGAGGAGGCAGGACGCGCGCTTCTCACTGTCATATCCAAGGCAGGTTTTCTTACTCTTGAGGATTTGAGTCTGATTCCTGCTGTGTTCTTTGGGGTGGCTTCGGCAGCATCACTCGATCTGGACTGTTACAGACAGTTACTTACCAGAGAAAAAGACAGATACGGCACCACTCCGCGTTTAAAATATTAATTTGACGTTTGCTTGTTGCAGGTTTCCAGTGACAGTGCATCCAAAACAAGGATTAAACTCGGACTGCTTCAGCTTCTTCTGAGCTAAATGTACACGTCTTGCACAGCTCTTGCAAACCACACTGGACACACGTAAACCTCCTCCTATTTTTTTATTTTTTATTTTGTGGATATTCCCTGAAGTTCCCCAAAAGTCATGGATGTGGCCACGGAGCGATGGATGCACCACTCTGCCGTGTTGAGCGCGCAGCACACGGCCTCGGAGTCGCACCATCACCCGGGCCTGGGTCACAACTACATGGAGCCGGCCACGCTGCCTCCGGACGAAGTGGACGTTTTCTTTAACCATCTGGACTCGCAAGGGAACCCGTACTACCACAACACCCGGGCCCGGATGTCCTACAGCAGCCCGGCCCACGGTGAGAGCCATACAGCTGCATATAGCAAATCCAATAGATAAAATATACATATGAAGTCTGCATGTTGATCTGGCAAAAGATATATGTAAAAACATGTTTACCTGGCTAAAGATAATTAAAAAAAATCAAAATACACGCCGTGCCCTACTGTTCTTAAAAGTGACCGAAAGCACAAGCTAAATAGATACTGTTATTAATCTGTAATTCAGACTTGACTTACTCTATATTTGAAAAACAATAGGAATATATAAAAGAAAATACAATACAATAGATAGTGACAATCTTAAGCATGTGTTTGTATAGCTCTTAAACCTGGACTTTCACAAAAAATACTAATACTAATAATAATTTTAAATTCAAATATTTTTCAATGGCACGTATCTGTTGTTGTAAATTAACTATGGTTATACAGTCAGATCTATAGATGAACGCGTGTGTTCAGTCTGAAGAAGTTGGTCTTAATGCTGACCTCTTAATGCTGCTTGCAGACGCCTCCACGCTCCCTGAAAGCCTCAACAATTCCATAGTATTTCTTGATAATAAAACAGACAATAAAAATAAAAATACGTGTGTTATTTTACTTTGTCTTTCAGATCAAACACTTGGATTAAAATAGTAGCCTTCACACACAAGTGCTTATGGGGCCCTTTGATAATTCAAGACAAGGAAGGCGTCTGTCTCTGTTCTTGTCTTGTCTGATATTTTTGTTATAGCTGGTTGGACCCCAATTATTAAGCTTTAGGCAAGGAATGTTTATTAGTATAGCACAGCTCATACACAAGGTATAACTCAATGTGCTTAACAAAACAAACAAGACAGACATAGATCACACAAGGCATTCAAAGCATAAGAGATACAATCCGTCTATTTTTAACCTTAAATACAAGGAAACGTTTTCAGCCACTATCCAAGAAACAAGAAACAATAAAACACAATAAATCATGATATTATAATAGACTACAGTGGACCCTTCATGCACTGGCTGTTTGAGTTATGTCCAGACATGGTTGTGCATTAGTCTTCCTTATTCCCGTCGACATATACATATATTACAACTGACAAAAAACTATTTATCAACAAATCAAATGGAATTGTTTGTGTGGAGAAAATATTGCTGAATACATGTGTTCACGAACAAAAAATACAATGCAATTTTCAGTATTTAAATGTGTATGTATTCGTTTTAAAGGTGTAGTGGCTTTGACAAAAAATACATTAATTATAACAGCGCAAGAGTGTGTTGATGATCCAAGTTGCATGTAGCAAATGTCTTACTTTGAGTTTGAATGCTACTTTTATGCACTTTTAATTAACAAACCAGTAACAGCCTGATTACACATGCCATCTCTGTGTTTTTGCGTGTACAAATTCTGACTTATATATATTTGCGTGGTGCAGCTCGTCTGAGTGGAGGCCAGGTTTGCAGACCGCACCTCCTGCACAGCCCCAGCGGGATCTCATGGCTCGACAGCGGGAAAGCAGCTCTGTCAGCCGCCCACCACCACCACCACCACAACCCCTGGGCCGTGAGTCCCTTCAGCAAGCCCAGTCTGCACACCCCCTCCACGGGCAGCGCGTCTCCCGGGGGCCTCTCTGCGGTCTACCCGTGCAGCAGCAGTTCAAACTCGGTCTCTGGTTCGTCCCTCACGCCACCCGCTCATCCAAGCCCTCATCTGTACACCTTCCCCCCGACACCACCCAAGGACGTTTCCCCGGACCCTGGAGCCGTGTCCCCGTCCTCCTCCGCGGTCAGGATGGACGAGAAGGAGTCGCTGAAGTACCACATCCAGGAGAGCATGAAGATGGAGAGCTCCAGGGCGCACCAGGCCATGGCCACGTACCCGTCATACGCGCTCCCCACGCCCGACTACGGGAGCCTGTTCTCCGCGGGGAATCTGCTGGGAGCCTCCTTCTGCAGCAAGAATAAAAACAAGACGAGATCCTGTACCGGTGAGTCTCGAGATTACGCAGTTATCTATCTTCTATCTGTCTTTCTAATTCTATCTCTTTATCTAGTATCTATCTAATTTACGATCTGTGATCCTGAACGCGCACTTTTCAGGTCATCTCTTATACACACATTTTTCCTACAAATACGTTTTGCTGACGACTTTGGTCTGTATTTAAATGGTCACAAATAGCTGGTGTCCGTTGAGATACAGTCAAAATCCGGATTTACAAATTAATTAAAATAACAGCTAACAAAATAACAGCAATTATGAACGTGTTTGAAGCTCATCTTTGCATCTGTGAAGATATTTTGACAAATTTAACCTGAGTTTTGATTATTTTCAAGTAACATTTTATCTATACAGTTACGTGTGTTGGGACTAAAGCAAAACTGGGTCAAAGCTAAAGCATCGGCCAATGATTTATATTTATATTAAAATGTTAAATTATACATCTATATACAGTTATTACGTGTCGGGTTTAAATGATAGCATAACATACACTCTATGGGTTTTTTCCTGAGATAATTACTTTTAAAATGAGGTATAACACGCCATGGAGCTCATATTAACCCATCATCAATGCTGCAGGAATAGCAATAATTGATAATAATTTGACTCCATATATAGTGCATAAAATTACAAATAGCTTTAAGGGTTGTAGACACTGACTTTGTTATTTGAAACACACAAATGACACAAAATTATATCTATTCTTGGTTAATACGTAAAGATATTTATGTACAACACAAGGCCACCGAACAAAATAACAAAACACATTATATACTATTCATTATTAAGATTCTACATACTCTCTATACTCTAACACTGCAATACTTGTAATGCTTCAGAAATGCGATAATACTTTACATTGGAGTTTTTAGTGAACACAGTTATTTAGTCTCACAACTTCCCACTACTTTGTTTATTTTACTCAGGTCATTTCAATAAATAAACAAATTAGCAGCGAGGTGAAGCAGGGTTATTTGTGCAGCATAAACAAGTGAAAATTAAAAATACTCAAGTTAAATCCTCAGTAAAATATTAGTGTGAATGAGCAGCAGATATGTCCGATGCCGTTGTTGGTCGTTGCCACTTTATCCACGGTCCACATCCATTTCAACGAACCACACAATGACATTTTAATTTGTCTTTGAATAAATGATTACTTGTAAATTTGTGTTCCGGTCGTAAACAGTGAAATATGTTAATGTCTATTGCTTTTCGGTTTCTCTCAATGTTTGCCTCGGAGGTTTCTTTCTGTTTCTCCAGTGGGTTTTTGGAGTAGTAATTTAAATATATTCTATTTAAATGTATTCTTGTACAGCCCTAAATCACAACAGTGGTTTTCTCGGAGGACTTTACGCATCTGTTGAATTGTAGAAGGGTCTAAGGACAGTGATGATTCAGGACATTTAAAGAACCACTATTATTAACATGGCTCCTATGTGTTTGTTATGAGTGCCATCCCTGTGTTTCAAACTGTCTGATTCTCTGATTTGTTGTTGGCGAATCGGCAACTTTGTAAAGTCGTCCGAGACGGCTGCTGTTGTGATTGCTCTTGAATTGAATTGTTGATTTTTGAAAGAACGTTTACATATCGTGCTAACGGATGACATACATTTCTCTTCCATTTTAAAAGATCTACTCACAATTGTTTTTAATCCGGATTTTGTTTCAATCCCATGTCTTTTTGCGAATCCCAAAATCACGAGGGCATTGAATAATTGTCCATTTGCCAACAGCAGGTTAGAAAATCAAGAAAAGTTTACACCACATTCAACAACAAGTCTAATTTTTCGTGCTATTATGAAGTCGTCAAACTTGCAGCTGAAGAAAATGTTAAATATGAATATGATTTGAAATGTTATTTCAAATCATATTTGAAATAACATTTCAAATATTATATAGAGCTGGACACACAGCGTGCAATGTAGTTCAATTTATTTGTGTATAGCCTGCTATGATTATTCACCAACAACAGATTAGAGAATCAAACAGGTCGAGCAGGAAACGTCATTGGTCAGAAACCTCAGGGAGACCCACATTGAGAAAGGCATCTGTAAAATGTTGAAGGGAGAAGGATGACGACTTTCCTTAAATGTTAATAAATATCCTGGATCATCACAGGCCTTAGACAAAGTCAAGGCCCGGGGGCCAGATCCGGCCCACGAGACCATTTCCAGTGGCCCTTAAGATGATTTTAAATAATTATATTAAATAGCAGCATAAATGGTAAAAGGCGACAATGGCATGTTATCCATTACTAAGAAAACAACCATAAAATCTAGAGAAATGTGAAGTTAGTATTATTATGTTATGTTTTTTACAAGTCTTCAATTACATTTATTCTTAAAGATATGAAGAAGGATCTCCCAATTTTCTTAGGAAAAAAAGTTATCGGAACAATATTTGTTCCAGTTTTGGTTCAGTCCAGTGACTGAACTAATTCTAATCAGAAAAGAATATCCAACTAATGTGAAACAAGTCATTTATTTAGAAACCTTCCAAACCATTCCAAAAAAATGTAATAAATGAAACCCACTTATTTGTTTGGCCCCTGACCAGCCCTTTCTTTTTCTATTCGGCCCACAACCAAAATAAGTTTGACACCCCTGCCTTAGACCCTTCTGCATTTGCAAAAAAAAAAATCAAATAAAACCCCTGCAGTGGGACTTTACAACACAATAGAAGCGATACAACATCAAACACACAGTAAAACAGTCCAACACGGTGTAATCCAACACAATGATAACAATATTACCCTAATGCATATTTCAGTCAGTCTGCGCAGGGCCTCGGTGACAGACATTTTTCTAATCTGCTTTTGTTCACCGTGACTGTGTAATTAGCTGCAGAATGAGGCTCTGGACGCGGACCAGAGAGTGTGAAAGGAAGATCCGCGCACTCAGAGCCAAAACCTCACTCTTTAGGCCCAGCTTTGTCTCCTCTGTTACACACGGCAATAATACGTGTCCTGATTGGTTATTTGATTACACTACACAGGGTTTAGGCCTTTTATCCGGATTGAGATCGTGACACGGATTTCAGATATGTGCTGAATGAGTGATGTCGCATTGCATTGAAAACAGACAGTGGAATTCTATTTTTGTTTGGGCCCAGTTAAGACCTGGTCAAGACCTGGGTTTATACTGTAGCTGCTGTGTTTTTAAAAAGCAGGCTTTGGTGAATCTGCTTTCGAAAATTTCATTCACACTTGTTTTTAAGGTGGATTTCACTTCAATTCCATCTGTTTTTGTAAAACCCAAAATCACAAGGGCGTCAAAAAATTGTCGATTGGCCAAAAGCAGCTTTGGCCAATCACATAAGATTAAAACTCTGATCCACAAGACATTTCTACACATTTATTTACATTTGTGGACAGTGGTCGTCCTGCTCCCTGTGGACCAATGGCTCCTGTGTGTTTGTTATTATTGCATTTCCTGTGTTCGAACTGTTTGATTCTCTCTCTGGTCTCTGTCTCTCTCTGGTGACTGGTCTTTCTCTGGTCTCTCTCTCTCTGGTCTCTCTCTGGTCTCTCTCTAGTCTCTCTCTGGTCCCTGTCTGGTCTCTCTCTGGTCTCTCTCTCTGGTCTCTCTCTCTGGTCTCTCTCTGTCTCTCTCTCTGGTCTCTCTCTCTAGTCTCTCTCTCTGGTCTCTCTCTGTCTCTCTCTCTGGTCCCTCTCTGGTCTCTCTTTTGTCTCTACTTTGTCTCTCTCTGGTCTCTCTCTGTTCTCTCTCTATTTCTCTCTCTGGTCTCTCTTTGGTCTCTCTCTGTCTCTCTCTCTGGTCCCTCTCTGGTCTCTCTCTGTCTCTCTCTCTGTCCTCTCTCTGGTCTCTCTCTGTCTCTCTCTCTCTTATCCCTCTCTAGTCCCTCTCTGTCTCTCTGTGTGTCTCTCTCTCTGGTCTCTCTGTGGCCTCTCTCTGTCCTCTCTCTGGTCTCTCTCTGGTCTCTCTCTGGTCTCTCTCTGGTCTCTCTCTGGTCTCTCTCTGGTCTCTCTCTGGTCTCTCTCTGGTCTCTCTCTGTTTCTGATCATTTGTTTTAGCCATGTCCGTCTCATGTCCTCAGTCCCTCCTGCTTTGGCTTCAGTGACTCTGTCTTTAACCGTAGATCCCTCATTACTTAAATCTTACACCTTCTCTTTGTTCCCTGTATATTCTTGTAGGTCTTTTAAACAGAGGTTACACTTTTCTTCCTTTATCCCGGTCTCAAGTGTCTCTCCGCTCTTTTAAAGCCGTAATCTGACACCGAAATCCATTCACTTTGTGTCTTTCCTTCGGTGTTGACATAATATTCCTTGTTCACTTTAACGCTCTCGACCTTTTGTTTTGGCCATAACAAAACAAACTGACGCTGGTTTCACGATGTGTGTGCGTTGAGATTCCCGCCATCAGCAAATTATTTAATTATTTAAGTAGACAACAAAACAGCAAAACAACTATACATGCATTTGTAGTGAAATTTAATTATGATGATTCGACTTAGACTTGAGAGATATTCTTTTAAATAAATAAATCATAATGTTCCTGGAGGTTTAGTATAGCCCTGTCTCCACCTGCCCTAGTGTGTCCTGCACAAAATTACAAAATTACAAATGCTTCTAAAATCAAGTGTTTTTACAACAATATTTGCCAATGGGACACAATAGGGTATATTTTTTCTTTTAAAAGCAAGACATCTTTGCTGATCCCATTGGCTTCAAAAATCTCCTATATCTAATTTTTGTTAGTTTTTGTATCATTTCATTTCATTGAGCTATGGGGTTAGCTACGGGAGGGAGGGGGGGGGGGGGGGTGGGGGCTTGGTCTGTATAATGCGCTATATAGATGAAGATTCAGATTTACATTTTATTTGACATTCGCAGTAAAACCCTATTGGAATAGATTTGCAAAAGTCCCCAGTGTGCACAAGGCAAGAGCACAAATAAAACTAAACATTACTTACTTATCTTATATACTTACTTACTTACTTATTAGTGTAAAGTAGAGTAGAGTTGAATAGAGTAGAGCAGAGTAGAATTACTTAAATCGCCAATCTCTATTTTTTAATCACGTTTTCACAGTGTGTTGCTTCACTCCAGTGTCCCCGATACGTGACTATTTCATGTCCTCTTCTCTCGTCTCAATCTCCACAACGACAGATTAAAGCCGTTGTTCACATGTTTTGTTTGTTTTGTGTGTTGTCGCTGCAGAAGGGCGCGAGTGCGTGAACTGCGGCGCCACGTCCACGCCGCTCTGGAGGCGGGACAGCACCGGACACTACCTCTGCAACGCATGTGGACTCTACCACAAGATGAACGGCCAGAACAGACCTCTCATCAAACCCAAGAGGAGACTGGTGAGTGCAGCAGGATACTGGGGGGTGGAGCGTGGAGGGGGGGTGGAGAGAGACAGGAGAGAGAGGGGAGAGAGGAGAGAGAGTGAGGGGAGAGGAGAGAGAGGGGAGAGAGGGGAGAGGGGAGAGAGGAGAGAGAGGAGAGAGAGTGAGGGGAGAGGAGAGAGAGGGGAGAGAGGAAAGAGGGGAGAGAGAGGAGAGAGAGAGGAGAGAGAGAGGAGAGAGACTGGAGAAAGAGGAGATAGAGGAGAGAGAGGAGAGAGAGGAGAGAGAGTGGAGAGAGACTGGAGAAAGAGGAGATAGAGGAGAGAGAAGAGAGAGAGTGGAGAGAGACTGGAGAAAGAGGAGATAGAGGAGAGAGAGGAGAGAGAGGAGAGAGAGTGGTGAGTAGAGCAGGCTACAGGGGTGTGGAGGGGGGGTTGGAGAGAGGGGAGAGAGAAAGGAGATAGAGGAAAAGGGGGGAGAAATAGAGAGAGGAGAGAGAGAGGGAGGGAGGAGATAAAGTAGAGTAAGAGGAGAGATAGAAAGAGAGAAAGAGGGCAGATAGAAAGAGAGAAAGAGGACAGAGAGAGAGAGGGTGAGAGGAGAGAGAAGAGAGTGAGGAAGAGAGAGAGAGAGAGGGGAGAGAGGAGAGAGAGAGGAGAGAGAGAAGAGAGATAGATTGAGAGAGAGGAGAAAGAAGAGAAAGAGGAGAGTGAAGAAGAGAGAGAGAGGAGAGAGAGATAGAGAATAGAGAGAGGAATAGAGAGAGACCAGAGAAAATGAGCTTTGTGTTTGTTTTTGTCTATTCAAGAAGAGTTTATTTGCGCACACACTGACTGTATCTCGGTCGGAAAAACGTGTGTAGTCCACCACAGCCTCAGTCCTGGATCAACCGTCAGTGGGAGTGGATCCCTCTCTCAATGTGGACAGTTTTGCTTTTTTCTTTGAGTGGTTTCGGACCGATGCAGGAGGGTCTAAGGACAGAGATGTATTTGAGGACAGTGGTCGTCCTGCTCCCTCTGGACCAATGGCTCTTATGTGTTTGTTATTATTGCATTAACTGTGTTTGATTTCTCGTCTGATTCTGATTCTCTCTGATCTGTTGTTGAAAAATCGACAACTTTGTGATGTCCTCTTAGACGCCTATTGTTGTGATTTAGGGCATGACATTGAATGGAATGGTTAGAATCTTCCACATGTTTTGTTGCCTAAATGTAAACAGATTTTTCACGAAAAGGGTGAAGCTTTACCCTAACTGCTCTGAAATATATCTGGAATTTGAAAAAGCGACACACACTTTGCACATGGCACTTTCTGCTTTTGCTAATCCACTCTTCAGCAGCTCTCGCACTCGCCCAAAGAGCTGCATCCTCTGTCATTATTGCTGATTTTTTAGTGTGTTTGGCGCCTAAACAAACAGAGAACCCTGGTAGTAAATCCCAGAGTGGAGTTAGTGACTGAGGACTGCAGATACAATCTCAGGAAACATATATTTTCTCAATCAGTTTCCAGGAATTGTGGTTGGCCGCTCACCTCTGCCTCGGTGCGCTCGGCTGCTGGCCAAGAGTCCTCATTATTAGCTCTGCTCCTGATGGTGTGAGTGATCGCGCTGCTACAGGACACGCACCGTCCCTCAATACCAAAATATGTCTTTCCCTCGGTGTCAGCGTCGGTCAGGGTTGTGTCGTATTAAAACCAACCAAAACACAGCAAAATATTTAACGCACAAGTCAAGAAAACACTTTTATATAGTCATCCACGGCGGCTGAGCAGAGTGTCGAACAGTATTAGCTCAGTAGAGGTAGAATTTTTCATTTATTATTACCAAGCAATTGTTCAAATTCACCGCTCTTTTGTTCAATTCAACGTGTTTCTGTAGAGCCCGAAATCCCAACAGCAGTCGCCTCAGAGGACTTTACGAAGTTGTCAATTCCTCAATAAAAGAGCAGAGAATCAAACAGTTGGAACACAGGAAATGCAATAATAACAAACACATTGGAGCCATTGGTCCACGGGGAGCAGCAGGACCACTGTCCACAAATGTTAATAAATGTCCCAGATCATCACTGTCCTTAGACCCTCCTGCAACGACAAGGAACCACTTGAAGAAAAACCCGGCAGGAAAGATTAAGAAACATCGGGGGAGGCTTTTTTCTCTTCATAAATTATTTGTTTTTATTTTATTTGTGTACCAATTCTTATTCCTGTATAAGTAGAGTATTGTCGGGAAACTGGGCTTCTGAGAAACATAAATGAAAGTCCTTTCATGGATCTATAGAGCAGTGTCAGTGTATCTCAGTCGCCTGCAGTGTGTTTTTGTGTTGTGTATGGGAGCTGCTCCTCACCCGGCACTCCCGAGCCGTGCTCCCGAGCCGTGCTCCCGAGCCGTGCTCCCGAGCCGTGCTCCCGAGCCGTGCTCCCGAGCCGTGCTCCCGAGCCGTGCTCCCGAGCCGTGCTCCCGAGCCGTGCTCCCGAGCCGTGCTCCCGAGCCCTGTGGCCGCGGCGCTCCTGGAGTTTCCTCTCCGGAAATCTGATCCATGCAGATAAAGGAGCCGGGCCTGAGCTGCTTCCTCTGCCTCCCGCTCTCTACAGACTGCAGACTAACTCTGTGACTCTACTCTACTCTACACTACTTTACCCTACACTACTCTCTCCCGATTAGTAGCATTTCTGCATTTCCATTGGCCCTGTTTAGTTTGTAATGTAGCATATAATGTGGACCATGTATTCATAACCTGCAGACAAAACATTTAAGAAATTGTCACTTTCTTGTTGATCCTAGTTTGCTCTTGTTTCGTACACTGGCTTCCCTGTTATACCCATTTCTTTGGGTTTGGGGCTGGGCAGACTGTGTGTTTATTTGGCCTCAACTTCATGAATGTGTGTGTGTCCTCAGTCTGCTGCGCGGAGAGCAGGGACGTGTTGTGCGAACTGCCAGACGACTACCACCACGCTCTGGAGACGCAACGCCAACGGAGACCCGGTCTGCAACGCATGTGGCCTCTACTACAAGCTGCACAACGTGAGTCTGGTCCTGAAGCATCACTGGGACCTCTGTGGGGTTCAAGTAGGACTGGGATGAGAACATATCAGACCTCTGAAGTAACGCAGGGAAGGGCCTGGTTACTGTGATGTGAGACCTCTGGGAACACAACGTGCCATGGTGGGGCGGCTGCCAAACTGATGTTGTATCCTTAGGCAAGACAATGGTTGGTAGTTGTGGGAGCCCGATGGCACATACTGGTTGCCTTGTTTCTGCCAGTGTGCCCCAGGGCAGCTGTAGCTACAATTAGTTTATCACCCCCGTGTATGGAGTGAATGAGTATTTCATTAAGTGTCCAAAGTGTTATAAATGATAGTTTTGCACCGATTGAGAAGCAGTTTGTGAAGTACAGGTGAAATACAGATTACTAGAATATTGTTCAAAGGCTCGTTTTACTTACTCTACAACTACAAGTTACAATGTGAAGCTTATAAATGATACAGACCAAACATGTCCAAACCAACTCCTTGGGCCAATTCCGGCCTTCTGTGCTGTATTAGGAGTGGACTGACCGAGTGTGACCTCACCATAGTGTTAGCCTTAATGTGGAGGAAGCCAATTTGAAAAGTTAGCTGGAGCCCTTTTCCTTATTTGGGCATTTCCTCTGTGGCATTAGCTTTGTGCCACAACTGGAGAACACGTGTTGCTAAAACGGTTGCTAAGGAAAGCTGGAGTTCCCCCTGTAAATGAAGGCATCTGATTGGTAAATCTGGACTCAAACCAGGAAGCACCGTTTTACACCATAAGCCAATTCCCAGAAATCATACACATACACATACACAACGCATGGATTGGGATTGATTCACTCACAGTTTGCTCTGAGTGACTGTTCCATTGGGCACATATTGTTTTGTTTCTTATGACCTTATTGTTTCTGCGCTGAGGTGAAATCCCCTCGAGGTTCACAATGGTGGGACTGCGGCGAGAGAAGAAAGAGTAGCGCCCGCAAGTCTGCAGCAGGTTCACAAACAGGAGGTCTGGACCTAAAGCGAGCTCTGAGAGAGTTATGCACCGTTTAGCACAGAGTATTACTACATTTTTATTTTGCTGATCCTAAGTCTGGTTATGCCTCAATTCTATTCAATTTAATGTATTTGTGTAGAGCCACAAAAGCAGTCGCCTTGGAGGACTTTGATTGCCCAACAACGGATCAGAGAATCAAAGCGCAGGAAATGCAGTAGTAAAAAACACATATATTGGTCTGTGGGCAGACCACTGCCCAGAAATGTTAATACATTTTTTTAATGTCCTTCAGTTTCCCGGATCGTCACTGTCCTTTGAGCCTCTTGCATCAAAAAGAAACAACTCAAAAAAATAAAATAAATGGACTGGACACTCTACATTCTTTACAACATTTATGGACAGTTATCAGAGGGGCGACAGTAGCTCAGTTGGTAGAGCATTGGTCTTAAGGCCAGAAGGACGTGGGTTCAATTCCCACCTCTGCACCTTCTCCATCGACTCCCACTGATGACTGCTGTCGTTGTGTCCTTGGGCAAGACACTTAACCCCACTTTGCCCAAAGCCCCCACTGAAAGATCAAGGCTATGCTCACACTCAGAGAGCAGCCGTCCTCCTGTGGACTCACCACCTGCAGAGGGTCAGTGAGGGGCTGGTGCTATGAGACTTGGGTGGCATCTCTGATTGCCACCCCCCTGACCCAGAAATGGATTAAAGGGTAGAAAATGGATGGATGGATGGATATCAACATTCATGGACATTGGTCTCTCCATATGGACCAATAAATATGTGTTCTATATTTTTTGTGTCTTATGGTTTCGTCCTCTGTTAAAACCTCTTTATGCTGGGACAAACAAAATGCACTATTTATGAAACAAAAAAGTTGCCACATTTTTTACCCCTAAAGTGAGAAATTACGTCACACTATACAGTCCCATACTTCCATTTCGTTTCTTCCCTGCTCTAACCTCTTCCCTCCTTCTTCCTTCGCAGGTGAATCGCCCGCTCACCATGAAGAAGGAAGGCATCCAGACACGCAACCGCAAGATGTCCAACAAGTCCAAGAAGTCCAAGCGCGGAGGCAACGGCGACAGCTACGAAGACTTCACCAAATCCATGCACCAGCACCACGACAAGAGCCCCACCCCCTTCGGGTCGCTGACGGGACACGTGTCTATGTCCCACCACCACCACCATCACCTGGCCTCCCCCTTCTCCCACACGGGACACATGCTGCCCACTCCCACCCCCATCCACCCCAGCTTCGGACACCACTCCAACATGGTGACCGCCATGGGATGAAGAGGAAGACCAGGAGAGGGACACGAGGAAGAGACTGTGTGCGGGACAAACATAGGGCTTTGTTTTAAGGGGGCCTGTGGAGTTGACGAGGAGGGGTCGGACTGGGTTGCCAGATGTGTTGAAATCACAATTTGAATGGAGGCAGTCTTATATGACTAAGAGTTGCGATATTAAAGCATATCCCGGTTTATTCTGGTTAAATAATCTGTTAATCCTGTTTCTGAGAACAGAGAGAGAGAGTGAAAGAGAAATCAGAGAGACCAGTGACCAGAAAGTGAGAGAGAAAACAGAGGGACAGACGAGATGGAGAGAGACCAGAGAGAGGAACAAGAGAGAGACCAGAGAGAGAAAACAGAGGGACCAGGGAGAGAGTTGTTGAAATCTCGATTTCAATGGAGGCAGTCTGACATGACAAAGCATTGCAATATTTAAACAAAAAAATCCTGGTTTATTCTCGTTAAATAATCTCTGAATCCTGCTTCTGCCATTAGGCCTGTATCTGTAGCCAGGACCTTCCCATACCTCATCTCTCTTTTAATTCAGTTGCCATAGTACTTGTTGGACTATTAAGCACTCCTGTTTACAAACCACACCGGATACATTTGAAAAGAAAGTACATATTGTCCACCTATAAGCAGCACTGGAATATAAACCGCCCATAATGCAATGTAACAGTTAACCAACAGATGACGGAGCAAAACAAAGCCGTTTTAACTTCCTTCCTTTGCTTTGGATCCAACATGTTGTTCCAGAGATCTGCTGTTCACATAAACACACTGAAGCAGGAAGGTGTGCTCCGTCATCTTCTCTGGAGATCAGCAGCTGTAGATGGAGCTATGTCTAATTCTTTGCGGCACTAGTTTTGCATCATAACGTGTTGCCAAAGTAGTTACACAAACGTCACTGAGATCGAGGAGTTTACTTTTGCATGTAAGTTGATAGGAGCCAGAACTTTGACCACGAGCACTTCACTTTTGGGCTTCGTTAATTGCGCAGCTTAGCATTGTCCATCTTTACACAGTCTCTGGTTAGCACATGATAGGGATATCGTTTTGCTTTGGTACTTGTCACCATTCAAATTATGATTTCAACTCCACCGCTCCTCTCTGCGATGTCCTTATTTGGTACTCTCTCCAACAGGAAGTGGCTGTATACTTTGTGGCACATGTACTTTATGTAAAAAAGACTATTGCACCTGTGTATTCTGCTCCTCGCTGGCGCCTGTGTGTTTGGCGCTTCAGTGTGGCTCATATGTAGAGGCGGGCGATACGTCAAAAATGGAGACAATATATGCAGTTGTTGTTTGGCAGATAGAAGTTCAGAGGAAATAACAGAACAATCATTCACAAAATAAACTGGATTGGAAAAATAGCAAAGTTAGTAAGTTATTTATTTCCTAATATGTTAAACAATTCTGCAAAATTCTTTCCTTTGAAATGTTATTCTTTACTTCTCCAACTTATCTGCCCTCTCCTTTTTTATGTTGATGTTTCCTTACATAGTACACTACATTGAACAAAACCGCTGTTAGCATAACGTTAGCTTTCTGCACAAAATAGTCCTGCGAGTTAATGTACAATCAAATACAAAAATGGAAAAGAAGGATAACCCAAAATTAAGGACAGCTAAAATACGTTATTTAATAAAAGTAAATACTTATAAAAAACAGGGTTCAATTAAATACACAGGACCAACAAGTAGTGGTGGGGGAAAGAGGATTTGGTTCAGTGAGCCGATATTTTGTGGATGCAACTAAATCAATACAGTCAAGCAACGTATTGCAATATTTATTTAGATAATTAAAGGTTTTGCGTTTTTGTTTTTTCTGATTTCACGCTGGTAATTCACAGTTGCGTATTACATTCAAAAGGTGGAGTCATATTTTCCTCAATTTTTCTAATGCTTTTGAATAATGTGAGGAGCATGAATCGCAACATGTCGCAGAATCGAATCACAAAACTAGCTGTATCCCAAAAGGTTAAAAATCGCAATAATATTGACTATGGCCTAAATCTCGAATAGTCACATTTTTGCCAATTCCCGCCCTATACTAACAAGACACACAAGGGCAGGAAGTAGGGCTAAAGAAGACACAGGGGTTAGCAAATTCACCTAAACCAAGACACACAAATATGGAATAACGGATTCAGCTTCAATGATGATCTATGACTGTTGATTTTTGACCGTGTCGCCCGCCGCTGCTTCTCCTGTACGTGCCGAACATCTGTGTAATGACTGTGAATACTGTACATACCTGAAGCTATAGGGACAGAGCGTTCCTCTTAAATATGCTGGATTTTTTGCTTAAATACGGACGATTTTAAAGAAAAGTGATACTATGAACCCGAGCGAGTCCTGATTTGGCACTGTTTATTATTTTTATTATATATGATTATTGTTATTCAGATAATTTATTTTCACTGCCTTGTACTTAACTTTAACCAATCACTAAATACTGCTCTACTACTTCTGAGTATATTTTTAGCTGAAGTGCTTTCTCTGGTCGGCATTTATACCTGTGCAAATAAATATTAAGTGAAAAAGACTGGAATTGTTTTTATTCTGGAGCTGGGAATGCGTGGTTATGACAAAACTGGTATTTTATCTTTGTCATGAGACCTGCTCTAATTATACATTTTAGTTTGGCTTATATGGGAGGCACAGGCTGAGTGGTGAGCAAGAAGGTCCTGGGTCAAATCCCGGAGCGACCACTGCTTATGATAAAAGCCCTAACAGCAATCAAGGAACTAGCTCCCATCTCAGTGTGGAGTGAGAGGACAAATGCCCAAAAAATATATATAAATAAAGACTACTTACTTACTTACCTTGCACTGTTATAAAGTTATAAATGAAACATTCAAAAACAGAGAAAATCTAGATAGACATTGCATACAAGGTACTTTTGTCCGACATTTTTATTATTGAAATCAATGGGATAAAACATTTTCAGTGTTATAGTGAGTTTTAGAAAAGATAAGATACATTTGGGCCTCAGTGGGAAATTTCTATGTCGTAGTTGCGCACATTACAAATAATAAAATGTTTACACACATCAAACAGGATTTATTATTATTATTCTTTAAATATTCTATCTTTTTATTACTAAACTGGCCTCCTCCATCGACACTTGCCCTGCCCGACCCGACTGAGAGTGCCTCAGTCCTGCACCGGACCTGTCCACGCTCTGCGACCGCTGCGTGGCCCTGGTCCACGTTCTGTAGCTTAGGTCCTGGATCTACAGCCCGTCTGTCCGTGGGAGCAGGTCCCTCTCTCAATGTGTGGGTCTCTCCGAGGTTTCCCACTTTTTTCCCACTGGGTTTTTCTTTGTCGATGCAGGAGGGTCTGTTGGGCAGTTAGTGTCCAACAAAAAATAAATAAACTGTGGTGATGATCCAGGACACTTTAACATTCTACAACATGTATGGACATTTATGTGTTCTATATTTTTATGTGTTTTAACTGTTGATTCTCTGTGTTGGTGATTTCAATGGTTTTGTTAAGTCCTTCTGTTGTGATTTAGGGCTATAATCTGGAACAGTCGTCCTGAAGATGTGAGACAGGCCTCCTCAATGACAATGTTTAAAACCAGGTTAAAGACAGTTCTGTTTAGCTGTGCATACAACTGAGGGATTTTATATTTTTAGCTTTCTTTTTAACGTTCTGTGATTATTTATGATTTTAATGCTTTCTTGTTTTGTTCGGCACTTTGAATTGCCTTGAATTGTGCTATATACATGTAAATAAACTTGCCTTGCCTTGCCTACAAGAATAAATTGTATTGTATTGTATTAAATAGTAAACACAAACTTTAGAATGTAAGATTGTTAAACAAATACATTAGAAAAGAACAAAGAGGAACACATAAAAAATAGAAGACAAAAACCAAATAAATAAAACAAAGACACAAAAGTACAACCCCAAACAGAAAAAACAAGACAATAATAAATAAATAGATATATAAATAAATACAGTTCATACTTGTGCATACATCTAAGTTGGCCAAATGTACACCTCCATTCTTTAGGTCAGGATCTATTATTTAAGATAATAGATCCTGACGGGAGATTAAAAAAAGGTTCTTTCCATGTGATGTCATAGTTTTACAATCAGGAAGTGACATTTACCAGCTTCAAGACTGGAATGATATTCGTCAAGTCTGTCGCCAAATCTGAAATATATTCATCATCTCACTGCTTTTACTAAACACACTTCGACCTGGTACTTTCAATGTAACGGGCAATAAACATAACACCATATTACCACGCAGTGTTTTCATTCTGCAAATGGGAATGATCTGCATGTTGCCTAGACCTGTGTCAGTTTTTTGTCACAGGGAAGACGGGAAAGGAAAGAGTCAAAACATACTTCCTCTTGTTTGCAGATTCAACCCCAAAGCAGAGGGAGGAGACTGAAGACGTTTAGCAAGTTTATTTAGGAGGGGGTAGAGGCAGGCAGCAGGAGACCAGGAGAGAGAGAGAGAGAGAGAGAGAGAGAGAGAGAGAAAGACAAGAGAGAGACCAGAGAGAGACCAGAGTGAAAGACCAGAGAGGGACCAGGGAGAGACCAGGGAGAGACCAGAGAGAGACCAGAGAGAGACCAGAGAGAGACAAGAGAGGGACCAGAAAGAGGCCAGAGTGAGAGACCAGAGAGACTAGAGAGAGAGAGACCAGAGAGACTAGAGAGATACCCCAGAGGGCCCAGAGAGAGATTAGAGAAGGACCAGAGAGAGACCAGAGAGAGAACAGAGTGAGCGATCAGAGTGAGCGATCAGAGTGAGAGACCAGGGTGAGAGACCAGAGATGCACTAGAGTGAGAGAACAGAGAGACTAGAGAGACCAGAGAGAGAGACAAGAAAGACCAGAGAAAGCACATTTGTTTTTTAAGCAATGTCCACATAACTTCACTAAATAGTTGATTTTATTGAGAGAAAATTAGAAAATCATTGGCCAAAAGATAAACCAGGAAAGAGAACATCAGATTTCTTGTCTTAAAAACATTCTTCTTGAACAATGGTTGAAAAGGGAAGAAAAGTGAAGGAGGCTCAGAGAGTGAGAGATCCACTCCCAGGGACCGGCTGTGGATGTGTCCAGGGACCCGGTCAGGAGACTGCCAACACCCCATTAGCAAACATTTCCCAAAGCTCTAACCAAATTAGTTGTTCTTAAACCTATTCCTAGAATGAACCTATTGTGTAAATAAATAAATTACACATCCAGAGTCCAATGCAACGTGCCATGACTTGGTTCAGGGAAAATCTAAAATGGAACGTGTAGGACAGAGCATCACTTAGAAATTGTAGACAAAACACAATAACATTCAAAGTTTAAAACAAGATGCAGCTGGACTTAGTTTAGAAGCCGATGTTTTTCTATCAACCAGTTCGCTTCCTAATGTTACTGTGGGAGGTGAGGCCTATCCCGGGTGTGAGAGAGCCATAGACTGTACATAGATGAGCATCGATCACCCACTAACTCAGTGAAGCCCAATAGGGAAGTGCTCAAAGTGACTCTGAACTGGGTCTGACTGGGAACACAAATAATAATTTAACAGAAAGAGTCTTGTATAAGTAAAATGTTGTGAGCAAATCCTACCAAAACACACTGTCTTTATCCTATAACAAAACATGTTATGGTTTGCATTCTGTACCTTTTTAATGTGAGTCACGAATGAATACTTTGAACTGGGAACTGATTGGCTGAGTGAGGGTGGTCCACTCTTTTTCACATTTTATCTGAAAAAGCTGATCTAATGGCCAAAGACAAAGATGCATGTGACATGTATGAGAAAAAGAAAGGATAAAGTAACCTATATTCATGCCACAGTGGGGAAACTTCTGTGTGTTTTCAGTTTATTCTTCTTCTTCTTCACACATTTTTTGTGACACTGTGGAAAAAGAAATGGACGCCCTAGGAAGCCACATAAGCTTATGTATGGGGTCCAATAATACAAAGATAAACTCAAATGGATGGCATGAAAACAGAGATTTGGCAAATTTGAATCAGAGAGATTAGTGTTGCAGCGCACTTACAAAACTAAAAACTTGAGGATAGAAGCAAACTGTTTTGAGGGCGAGAGAAAGTTCATGTTTTTAGGAGCACACACTTGTTTTGTTTAATTATTATAATATTTTTTTTCATTATTGTACTATGGTCATTTTAGTAGAACTTTTAAATATTTTACGTGTATTGTTTTAGTATCTCCAGTGATGCCTCTAGAGGAGCCCTCTGCACTGGGACAGGGGGGTTGGCTGATAGGGTCTGGAGCCTCTTTTCTCCTCTGGGTCCTGCATCTTTCCATTTGGCTTTAGGTGGCTCCTTGCAGACAGCCGTAAACTTTTTCACATGGTTTTACCTTATTTTACTGCATGTGTGTGTGTTTGTGCGCGTGTGTGTGTGTGTGTGTGCGCGGGTGTGTAAATATCCGTGGTATGAAAAGCCCTTTACATATCCAAATTGGTTGACGTTACAAACTGTAGTTCATGTTTTGGTAGATTGAAAGTTGGTCACTCCATGATTAATGTCCGTTCCATGCATACACGGTGCTGGCTCTTCTTCCTGTGGTTGTGTAATGCTTATGTCCGCCCTGGCGTCAGCGGTGAAACTGTAAACAGTGTCATAAGAGGCTGAGGTTGTGGCAGATGTGGCTTTCTTGTGTTAAGGCGACATCACAAACACGCTAATCTCTGCTCTCAACCTGAACCAGGGATGGAAAACACACGGGTTAAGCAAAGTGCAAACATGCTCCAGATAATATGTAATATATTATAGTTATGAAAGCATTTTCTTTTTATCAACGTGATGTAATTGTAAGTAAGTCATCTATATTTATCTAAGAATTTACACAAGGTCACACTTCAGAACCAAAAATGTTCCATTCATCCGCACATGAAGCTAAAGGTTTAGACTCACAATTCACACTTATTGTACATGTTGTTAGCGGTGGAGGAAACTGGAGCACTCACATGAACCAAATATGGAAGTGCTCACGAAGGAAGTTTTACTCCAACTTGTGGCTCCGAGCGAACATTGGCCTTTGTCTACTGTCGCTGTCTCCCTAGGCAAGACACTTTACCCCACTTTGCCTGAAGCCCCGAAAGATCAAGGCTATGCTCTCACTGACAGAGCAGCCGTCCTCCTGTGGACTCACCACCTGCAGGAGGATCAGTGAGGGGCTGGTGCTATGTGAATTGGGTGCACCTCTGACTGCCTCCCCCCAACCCAGAATACAATACAATACAATTTTTTCTTGTATAGCCCTAAATCACAACAGCAGTCATCTCAGAAGACTTAACAAAACCATTGAAATCACCAACACAGATCAGAGAATCAAAAAATGTCATACCCAAGATATTAGTTTTTACTCTTAATTTGTTCTATAAAGCCTTAAGGCACAGGTCGGGTCAAGACCAGGGGAAAACCACCTCAGCTCCTCCACAAACTCATTATCTACAGTTTACAAATAAAAAATAAGAAAAAATGTATTCGTCCCACAGTGGGGGAATTTCTATGTGTACAGGACAGTAGTAAGAGCACACAACATTTACAGAGAAAACACACTCAATTACACACATATTATCCTCCACATTGTTCTCAGTCAGAAGTGTCCTCTACGCAGCGTCGTCCTGGGGCGAAGCACGAGGCTGGGTCATTCTGAGTGTATTCTCCATTCCCCCGTCCCTCTTCGTGGCCTCCCACTGAGCGTCCGTCCTCCTGAACATTATGGCACCGCACTAAACTCTGCTGAGCCACAATAAAGCGGAGATAAAGGCCTTCGCTGAGTGCAGTAACGGGCGGGAGATTTACGAGGGCCAGCTTTGTGCGTTAGACAAGGACTTAAACTGTTTGTTTTGGCTGCGAATTCAATTAAGACTATCGTAGAGAAGTTGGAAACGAGAGAGGGGGTGATAAAGCCACATCAAAGTGAGGGGATTTTAGCAAATATTAGAACAAACGGCTGGAACGAAGCAATGTGGGGACTTTGAAACTTTTACAAGACATGTGACGTCTCCTGTGTCTTTGGTCTCTCTCTGGTCTCTCTGAGTGGTTTCTCTCTCTCTCTGAGGTCTTGCTCTCTGGTCTCTCTTTCTGGTATTTCTCCCAGGTCTCGCTCTTCGGTCTCGCTCTTCGGTCTCGCTCTTCGGTGTCGCTCTTCGGTGTCGCTCTTCGGTGTCGCTCTTCGGTGTCGCTCTTCGGTGTCGCTCTTCGGTGTCGCTCTTCGGTGTCGCTCTTCGGTGTCGCTCTTCGGTGTCGCTCTTCGGTGTCGCTCTTCGGTGTCGCTCTTCGGTGTCGCTCTCTGTCGCTCTTCGGTGTCGCTCTTCGGTGTCGCTCTTCGGTGTCGCTCTTCGGTGTCGCTCTTCGGTGTCGCTCTTCGGTGTCGCTCTTCGGTGTCGCTCTTCGGTGTCGCTCTTCGGTCTCGCTCTTCGGTCTCGCTCTTCGGTCTCGCTCTTCGGTCTCGCTCTTCGGTCTCGCTCTTCGGTCTCGCTCTTCGGTGTCGCTCTTCGGTGTCGCTCTTCGGTCTCGCTCTTCGGTCTCGCTCTTCGGTCTCGCTCTTCGGTCTCGCTCTTCGGTCTCGCTCTTCGGTCTCGCTCTTCGGTCTCGCTCTTCGGTCTCGCTCTTCGGTCTCGCTCTTCGGTCTCGCTCTTCGGTCTCGCTCTTCGGTCTCGCTCTTCGGTCTCGCTCTTCGGTCTCGCTCTTCGGTCTCGCTCTTCGGTCTCGCTCATCGGTCTCGCTCTTCGGTCTCGCTCTTCGGTCTCGCTCTTCGGTCTCGCTCTTCGGTCTCGCTCTTCGGTCTCGCTCTTCGGTCTCGCTCTTCGGTCTCGCTCTTCGGTCTCGCTCTTCGGTCTCGCTCTTCGGTCTTGCTCTTCGGTCTCGCTCTTCGGTCCTGCATTCTTGTCTGGCTTCCTGGTCTGGCTTTCTGTTCTTGCTTTCTGTTCTCTCTCTAGTATCTCGCTGGGTTTGTCTTTCTTGTTGTGCTCCCTCTGCTTTATTTTCCTGTTTGTTAATTTTGACACGTTATATTATAAGGATTGACCATGATAATGGTTGACCAAGGCTTTTAGAACATAAATACATACATTAAAATTAACAAATTATATCAATATGACACAGGCCCAAACACTATCCGACCCTACACCTCTCTCCCATCAGGTCCTGACCTCACTGACGAAACTGTAAGCATCAAATGCAGAAGACGGTAAACCTTTGTTACACTTTTGTATCTGGTACTGTATCCTAGCAACCTACCAACAACAAACCAGTATCCACGGAAATTCTTGGACAACCATTGCTTCCAGCAGCACTCTGCACACTTTAGTACCAGCTCGGCCTGGATAGATAGAGAGATACAGTAGATACTTTATGAGGGGCTGGTGCTCTGTGTACTGGGTGCAGGTGTGACTGCCACCCCCCGACCAGAAATGGATTAAGGGGAAGAAAATGGATGGATGGATGGATAGATACTTTATTGTAGCAGCAAAAATAAAAAATAAAATTGATCATTAATTCTAAAACGCCAACCATAGTAATTATTTTCTCCTACGAGGGATCGAAAAAGTATCTATTTATCTATCTAATAATCAGCAATAGCAACAGGATAGAACCTGGGCCAAGAAGGGTACTAGTTAAAGTAGGTTAAGGGTAGAGTAAAGTAGAGTAGACTAGACTAAAGTAGACTAGAGTAGACTAGAGTAGACTAGAGTAGACTAGAGTAGAGTAGGGCCATATAGGGATGGTGGAAACAGAGCTTAACTGAAGAAATAAGACTACCGTGGAAACAAAGCAGCACGCAATAATCAAAGAACAATATTGAGAACAATGAACGCACAATTAGCAGGTCTTAGATTAGCGACTAGCCTCCTCCCTGGATGAGTGACGTGACCTTAAAGTCCGCGCTCCTCTGAGAACTCTACAGATGAAGTGCTGTGTGAGAGCATTGGGTTTTAAGGCTTTGAAGCGCTGGTGCTGAGTCTCTGGTGGGACAGGGCTCTCTGTTCTGATCTGGGACAGGCTTTGGGTTTGGGACCTGGGGCTGGGACAAAGGGACGGTCTCAGAGGAGGTTTCGGGCAGTGAGAGGGAGATGAGAACCACCGATACTTCTGTGTCCTTAACAATAAACAAGAGAGGTGATGATACAGCGGATTACACCGGCTAAATATATCACTGAGGAAAGAGGTTTTAGCACGTTTTGGATGTTTGTGGACCGTGTTGTAGGCATGTGTTTCTACCAGCACTATACTATACTACCCCCTACTCTATTTGATTAAACTCTAGTCTACTCTACTCTACTCAGCTTTACTCTACTCTACTTGACTGGGTTGTGTTTCCATTATTCTTTAGTATCTGGTACCGTATCATATCAATCGCTGTCAGTTTGAACACTTTAGTGCCAGATTGGCGAAGATAGAACCAGTGCCAAGAGGGACTAAATAAGGACCTGGTACCGGTTAAACAGGACCAATGGAAACCTCACAATCAGGATAGAGTAGAGTAGGGTCATAGTGTGGATGTCTATAGCTGGTGGAAACAGCGCTATAGACATCACTGAAAGCCCACGAGCCCACCATAGTTTCAGTTAACAGAAGAAAAAAATGCTCTAAAACCATCCAAAAATAAACATATGTGCATTTAAGGCTTGGTGTGATTCAATTCAATTAAATTACATTTATTCTTGTATAGCCCTAAATCGCAACAGTAGTTATCTCAGAGGACTTTACAAAACTTTTGAATTTACTGACACAGATCAGAGAATCAAACAGTTCAAACAGAAAGAATAGAGAACATAAATATTGGCCCATAGGGAGAGACCAATGTCCATAGGTGTTTATAAATGTCCATAAATGTCGTTGAATGTTGGGTGACCTAGATCGTCACCACAGTCCTTTTAGTTAGACCCACTAACAGTCTAACGGACCCTCCTGCTTCGGCAAGGAAAAACTCTAAAACCCAGTGGGGAAAAGTGAAAAACCTAGTGGAGGTCCACAGTGAGAGAGGGATCCACACCACACAGTGATCCAGGACTCTGGCTACGATGCTGTGCCCAACTTTCAATCAACAGAAAACTACTATAAAAAACTAAATCCATCCAACTGCTTCTATCACTGTTTTTCACATGCATGTATTTTTTTGCCCCCTCACATTTTTAGATCAGCTTTTTCAGACAGAAAAGTGAAAAAAGAGAGGACCACCCTCACTCAGCCAATCGGCTCTCAGAACTTATCATTTAAAAGATAATTTCATGAAATTAATGATGGAGAAATAAACTACTTGTAGATACAGAAGAGGTCACAAAGTTCGGAAGTAATAGTAATTATGTATCCAAAATTAAAAAGCCGTCAATTTGACTGCTCTGGGAGTTCTGGTGTATAGAACCAGAGAGCGATCACTCCTGAACTGCACACCTCTGTCCTCACTGTAGCTGTCAGAAAGTAGGCCACTCTGGGACCACCTGACACTGGGCCTTTTCTTCTGCTGCGAGGAGACAAATTCATCCCTGTGTCCGCAAACAATCGCGTCTTTTCTGCTCCGCTCCTGCACCGCAGTGAAAGGGAGGCGGCGTGGGCAGAGCACCGAGCGCGGGCCCCTGGGACTGGGCGTCTGGGATCCACTATCTTATAACAGCGCGGTGACAATGAGCCCGCGGAGCAGCCTGGGGTAATGTGAGAGCAGGGGAAGTAGGCCAGGGGCAATGGCAGGGAGGGACAGGGCTGACATGGCCGACACATGGAACAGGAACAGGTGCAAAAAATCATCAAGTCCAAATGTGCAGAGAGTTTTCAATTTTAGAAAGGCAAGCTTCGGTTTGTGCGCGTTGTTGGTCTGGTTGAATTTAATTGGACCAATCCTGGCTCCCTTTGGCCAAATAAGTCTTTAAATATGAATGTCCATCCAACCATTCTTCTACTTAGACTCGTTGCTGGGTCTGAGCATTCCCTCTCCAGCTCATCTGGGGGAATCTTGAGGTGCTCCAGCTGAGAAACACAGTCCCTCCACTGTGTCCTGGGTCTTCCCCTGGTCTCCTCCTGGAACCTTTACCCCAGAGGCGTCCAGGAGACATTCGAAAACAGATGCCTGAGCCTCCTCAACTGGCACCACTTGATGTGGAGGAGCAGCAGCTCTACACCAAGCTCCTCCCATGTGGCTGAGCTCCTCACCCTTCTCTTAGGGAGCGTCCAGCCACTCTGCGGAGGAAACTCATGTGGACCACTTCTGTATCTGTGACTACATCTATTCGGTCATTCTCCAAAGGACCAGAGGTAAGGAAGAGAACGGAGAGCTCTGAGTGCAGACGCTGCTCCCTCTTCACCACCACAGTCTGATTGATACATCTCCATCCTTTCCTCTCTGAGAACAAGACCCTGAGATACTTGAACGCCTCCACATGAAGGACCTCTGCACCGAGAGAGAGAGCGAAAAACCGTAATTTTCGGGTCGAGCTCCATGGCCTTGGATTTGGAGGTGCTGATATATGTGAAAGAAAAACCTATTCTGTGACTAATCATTTTACACAATACCACAATGCTGTGCGCCTTCAGCGAGCTGTAGAAGAAAGATTCATCGTGTTGTTGTTTTGATTGTGAGTAAAGTTTAGTAAAGAGAGATTCACTTAAAACTGACAACATGCTCTAAATATCCGGTAGCACTGTCCGAACAGGGCCTCTCTGAGTTTGCATGTTCTCCTCGAGGCTGTGAAGGTTTCCTACAGATGCTCCGGTTTCCCCTTACTGCTAAAACATGTACAATAGGTAAAGATCAGATGAAAAAACAGATTCAACGGAGCGTTCTGAGAGTGGATGGAAATTCACGATGCAGCAATAACACTGAGGAAAAATTTAAATGTTAATACTAGTTTTAAGATTAAATGTATTATGTACAATAAATAGTTTCATGGCGCACAAAAAAACTTTCAGAAGTGCTGACACCAACATTTTAGGCTTTTATTTTATTTGGGCATTTAGAAGACAAAAGAAATAATAATGTGAAGAAGAAACAAAATAAAAAATAGCCCAAAAGGGAGTTGGCAGAAGCTGAAACAGCTTATCTGGGCCTACCCCCTATTGCCAATCAAATGCATAACACTTACACATACATACCTTGATATATACATAATTCACATACGTACATTAATATAATACACATTTATCCATACACATATATATACATACATATATACATGTACATATACATACATATAGATACACATACGTACATATCTACATATTATTAATTATGAATATTATTATGTATTATTTGATATTATTTTCAAATATTACTATTTTTTATTATTATGGTACTAAGTTTCTTTTTGTTCAATGTATTTTTCCAGAGCATTTATTTTGAAGGTTTTTTTAAATTGTTGAATAGAGATAGAGCTTTTTAAGGCCTCATCCAGGCCATTCCAAAGCTGAACCCCCCTCACAGATATACAGTGACCCTTAATATTAGTTCTTACATTTGGTTTTTGGAAAACTTTGGAGCCTCTGAGATGGTATGTACTCTCCCTGGGTTTGAACCGGTCTTGGATATGCTGAGGCAGCATGTGATTATGGGCCTTATACATTACAATTGCAGTATCAACAAGATCGTAAAACTTTAGTGTTTTAGATTTAATAAACAAGGAATTAGTGTGTGCATAATAATCAGCATAATGTACGATTCTGATGGCTTTCTTTTGGAGTGTGAAAATTGATTTGGTGTTAGATTTATAATTATTACCCCATATTTCAATACAGTAATTGAGATATGGCAGTATGAAGGAATTATATAACATATTAAGTGCATCATGATTTACAGAGTTTTGTATTTTGCATAACATACCTATACTTTTTGAGAGTTTTGTCTTCAGTATGTTTATGTGCAGCTTCCAATTTAATTCATGATCTATGTTGACTCCCAAGAATTTAGTAGAATACACCCTTTCAATTTCCACCCTTTCAATTTCCACATCAGATATTTGTATGTGGCATGGTGTGTCAATATTTCTGTTTCCAAAGAATATGTATTTAGTTTTATTCAAATTTATAGATAATTTGTTTGTATCAAACCACTGTTTAAGAATAACAAGTTCATTCTTGACTGTTGGAATTAGTTTCTTGAGATCTGGCCCAGAGCAGTACAGGCTTGTGTCATCAGCAAACAGTATACATTTTAACTTTTTAAACACTTTACATACATCATTAATATACATTAGAAATAGCTTAGGTCCCAATACAGAGCCTTGAGGGACTCCGTGTGTTAAGATCCTTTTATCTGAATCTGTGTTGTTTATTTGAACATACTGCTCTCTGCCACCAAGATAACTCTTTAGCCAATTACAAGCAAGACCTCTGACACCATACCTCTGCATTTTGTTTAAAAGTATTGTGTGATCTATGGTGTCAAAGGCCTTGCTGAGGTCTATGAACACACCGACTGAACTCTCTTTTGTCCACTGCAGTGGTTATCTCCCCGACCAACTCCATTACTGCCATGGATGTAGATCTTTTTGATCTAAAACCATATTGTTGCTCATTTATCAGATTATGTTTATCAATAAAGTTGTTTAATCGCGACACAAAAAGTTTTTCTAAAATCTTTGAGAATTGTGGCAGTAATGAGATCGGCCTGTAGTTGGTAAATTGATGCTCGTCTCCACTTTTGTGGATCGGAATAACTTTAGCTGTTTTCATTTTGTTTGGAAAGACACCATTTATAAAAGAAAGATTACAAATGTGGGTGAAGGGAACAGCTACATATTCGACAATCTCTTTGATCAGACACATATCTATATCACAACTATCGGTTGATCTCTTGTTTTGAAATGATTTTACAGTTGCTAGTATTTCATTTTCACACACAGGTGAAAGGAAGAGTGACTCTAAGTTGTTTTGAATGTTGCTTTCATCAAATTCTTGACTATCTCTAGGTTGATCAATTTTATTTGCAAGATTTGGTCCAACATTCACAAAGAAATTGTTAAATAGGTCAGCTATTCCCTTAGAATTCTGTATTGTTTGATTATCCTCTATAAAATACTTGGGATATTCCTTTTTTTGTGTGCCTTTAATGATGCCGTTTAATATTTGCCACATGCCCTGAATACTATGCTTATGCTGTTGAAGTAAGTTACAGTAATATGTTTTTTTGCTCTGTTTAATTATTTTGGTTGATGTTTTGTTTTGTTTTTATACGTTTTGTATCTATGCTCCGAGTCTAAGGTTCTGTTTTTCATAAACATTGAATATAGGTGATTTTTCTTTTTACATGATTTTAGTATTTCTTTTGTGATCCATGGTTTCACTTGTCTAGTGGAATTTTTAATATGTTTTTTTCTAATTGGACAGTGTTTATCATAGAGTGTCAGAAAGATGTTTAAGAATATATCATAGGCTTCATCTGGATCAGTCGAAGCGTGTACCTCACTCCAGTCCCATAAAGACAGGTCAGCTTTGAAAGCTGCCAAAGTCTCTGCTGTTCGATGTCTACAAAACCTATAATGGTCAGTCTGTGTTTTTCCTTTCTTGTCAGAGAGTTCGTGAAAAATACTGAAAACAGGTAAATGGTCGTTTATATCATTAAGGAGTATTCCTGCTGTTATCTGGGTCTCGATTTGATTTGTGAAAATATTGTCTATTAGCGTGGCTGAGCTGGTTGCTATTCTGGTTGGCTTTGTAATGAGAGGGAATAAACTGTTACTGTACATTCTTGTTGTAAAATTAGTGATGTTTGAGTCGTCTAAGGGGTTTAGAAGATTGATATTAAAATCACCACACACAATTTGGAGCTTTTTTGTCTTACAAAATAGATTATCTACACTTTGATTGAATGTGTCTAAACATGACCCAGGCGTTCTATACAAGCAGCTGACATTTATCTTCCGGGATTTTTTAACATCGATTTCAACCGTTAAGCATTCCAAGACTCCGTCTATGGTGGTAGATCTACTATCAATCTTTTTACAGTTTAAATCCCTATTTACAAAGAGTGCTACCCCGCCTCCTCTGTTCCCAACCCGGTGTGTAGTAAATAATGTGTAACCATCCAATTTGATTTCACAACTCTTTTCGTCATCAAGCCACGTTTCTGAAATTGCAATGACGCTGAATTTTTTGAACTGATCCAGATATTGTCTGATGTTTTCATGGTTTTTAAACAAACTTCTGCTGTTGATATGAATTATTGTAAACGCTCTTTCCATTTTCACACATTTGAAAGTTTCGTCTGTGTAATACTTGCAGTTACTGCTTATATTGTTATAAAGGTTATTATCTGGATCTATATCACAATTAAACTGATCAGGATTATCATTATTTGTACTTGTATTTTCAAATTCGATATCATTGAGACTAGTTAATATGTTTTTCAATTCATTTTCATAAACCATTGTTTTTGTTTATTTGGTTTATCATCATCATTAGTTACATCACTTAAATTGCTCCAATTCCTTGCCCTCTCTGATCCACTGCACCCTAGCGTGTTCTGGTGGACCATTGAGTTTTATGTATACACGACAATTGTATGTCCAAGTTGATTGTATTTTGTTCTGTTTTCTCAGAATTCTTGCCTCTCTTGCTATGTCGGAATTCTTTTTTGTCAAATGGTCATTCATGTAAACATTAGTACCTTTCAATTTCACCCCTTGCTTCATCAGTGCACTTTTAGCTTTTCAGTTGACAAATCTCAAAATGACAGGTGGTTTATCCTGCGTACCTTTTCGTTGCAGGGGGTGACACGCCTCAATGTCTCTGCTGTCTACTGTTATGCCTCTGGAATCCAGAAAAGCTATAACTTGGTGTTCAACAGAAACGAGGTCTGGTTGATTCAGTTCAGTCGCTGCAGCACGGGCGTAGGTCCGGGGTTTAATGTCTAATTTTGATTTGTACAGCCCTAAATCAGAGCAGCAATCAATCAAATCAATATATAGCAATAATAACAAACTCATAGGAGTCGTTGGTTCACAGGGAGTCCGGTTTGCAACGGATTTGTATAAGTAACTTCCCAACTTTCAGCTTTTACCCCACAATAGACTTTCCACACGCAGAGAAACTGTTGTTGTGGAGTTCAAAGTCAGAGCGTGTGTTTGATAAGTGAAGACAAAAGCCTCTTCTGGAAGTGAAAGGCTGATGCGGTGATAAAGCCGAGTCCCAGAGCGAGAGTCCAGCTCCAGGTGTCTCTGAGCGCCTCCAGCTCTGGGTCTATCACCGTCTCATCTCTGCAGTATGACGACTGAAGCCTGGATCAGGATCTCTCATCAACGTGAAGACACAAGCTCAGGACACAAGCTCAGGACAACAACACCAAATGTATTTCTTATTTCAGAATGTCACTGGAGCATTCCCTAATTGTGAAACTACTAACACTGAATTCTGAAAAATTCTCATTAAACTGTTTTAGCTTGTTCATTGTTCTTTTTTTGTTTGAAAATTGTGTCACACTTTATATATCGCTGCCAACTCTAACTCTTACTACCTCTTGTTGGACTGTATTTTAAATATGTATACTGGTAACTTTCACTTTTTATTTGAACTGTATGTTATGTTTATATGTGAGTTATATGATTGTAATGTCAAGGACCACAGATGGATAGTGGCTGTTGCTAAATCTGGTGCCATCTTTTAATGCACATTACCCTTAAGTAAGTAAACTTAATATTAGTTTTAGCTAAAACTGGTATGATATAACAGTTTGTTTAAAGGCTAATGCTAAAGACCAAATGCTAACTGCTGATGGTAAACAGTGTGCTGCTGTGGTAACTAGCACAGCACTGGTTCTTCTCAAAACCAAGTCGACTCGAAGCAGTCCAGGACCATCCCGTTGGAGAAAAACAACTTTAACTGCTAAAGAATGTTGGTTGCCAAAAATAACGATTTCATAAACATAATAATATAGAAATAAACCACATATAGATGCAGAAAAGTCAGTTATGAAGTAATGAGTATTACAAATGTACATGAGCTGAGCTTATGCTTCACAGCAAGAAGGTCCTGGGTTTGATTCCACCTCCACGCATCTCTGTGTGGATTTTGCATGTTCTCTCTGTGTCTGCATGGGTGTCCTAGTTCTATAGTTCTGGCATGCACCTCCTGTATGTTCGACCCCGCTCCTATCTCTGCGTGGAGTGAGAGGACAAATGCCCACAATTGCAAAGGGCTTTAATACCCTGTCTGTAAAAGGCACTATATGTTGTACAGGTATAACACCACTGCTTTATGCTCGGTCTGCTGTGTGGACGTGTGATTCTCTGCATGTGTCGCATTTAGCTGAGAATAAACTCAAGACAATAGCGGAACATTCCACATTATGCACATAATTGTGATTTTTCTTCCGGAACGCAGACACTCAGAACGACCTCTGCGCTGATTAGCAACACGTTGAGACGTTCAGAGTCTGCAGTTTTCTCTGACCTTCCCAAAGACCGAGTGGACTCATCGCAAATCCTACAACTGAGGATGTAGATCCGAGACTAAGGATGTGGAACCAGGACTGAGGCTGTAGATCCAGGACTGAGGCTGTAGATCCAGGACTGAGGCTGTAGATCCAGGACTGAGGCTGTAGATCCAGGGCTGAGGCTGTAGATCCAGGACTGAGGCTGTAGATCCAGGACTGAGGCTGAATAACCAGGACTGAGACTGTAGATCCAGGACTGAGGCTGTAGATCCAGGACTGAGGCTGTAGATCCAGGACTGAGGCTGAATAACCAGGACTGAGGCTGTAGATCCAGGACTGAGGCTGTAGATCCAGGACTGAGGCTGTAGATCCAGGACTGAGGCTGTAGATCTAGGACTGAGGCTGTAGATCCAGGACTGAGGCTGTAGATCCAGGACTGAGGCTGTAGATCCAGGACTGAGGCTGTAGAACCAGGACTGAAGCTGTAGAACCAGGACTGAGGCTGTAGATCCAGGACTGAGGCTGTCGATCCAGGACAGAGGCTGTAGAACCAGGACTTAGGCTGCAGAACTTTCCTTAACAACCTGATTTGTGTTACAGCTTTTTATTCCATATCCGTCGACAAAAACAATTTTTTTAACAGAAATATGTCCGCCAACAATATGAAGACAGGGTGAAAAGAAGAAGCAGAACGGAGAGCAGTGTGAGGTTTCAGAACATGCAGCTCTGTGTCACAGTATCTGGGACCCGTCCGCAGCAGCAGCTCTGAGCCTTTGTGAGGGCGAGCTCAGGCCGCGGGCGCTGGCTCCTGGAGGAAGTGTTTTCTTTAATGACAATAAAATCCAACAATGCAACGTGTAAGTGAGCAGTTTGAAGGCGCTCACTGCACAAAAGCTCGGGTTTGAAGGAGACAGCTGCACTTCCTCACGCTGGCCAAGAGCTCTGGACTCAGGTACGACAGGCCCAGGGAGCTGGACTTAGGTACGACAGGCCCAGGGAGCTGGACTCAGGTACGACAGGCCCAGAGAGCTGGACTCAGGTACGACAGGCCCAGGGAGCTGGACTTAGGTACGACAGGCCCAGGGAGCTGGACTTAGGTACGACAGGCCCAGGGAGCTGGACTTAGGTACGACAGGCCCAGGGAGCTGGACTCAGGTACGACAGGCCCAGGGAGCTGGACTTAGGTACGACAGACCCAGGGAGCTGGACTCAGGTACGACAGGCCCAGGGAGCTGGACTCAGGTACGACAGGCCCAGGGAGCTGGAAAGGCAAGTATGAACAAACGTTTTGTATGTTTCTTTTAGTCAACATAAAATGTAATCATTTAATGACCGGGGCCAAGAAAGACCTGGTACTGGTTGATCCTTGTGCTATCCTCGGGTCAAATCTACTAGCCACACTGATTAAAAAATAATAATTTTCCAAGCTTAATTTTAAGGATTTTTCCTAACATGACCAGCTCTGGGTAGAGCCTTTTATACCCTAATTTATGGTATTTTTCTAATACTTTAATTCATCTGACCGTCCGTCCGTCAATTTGACCGAGGGTAGCCCAACAGGTCCAGCGTAAACGCTCCCAATCAGGGTAGAGTAGTGTTAGGTAGAGCAGAATAGAGCAGAGCAAAGTTGAATAGAGTAGAGTTGCGTAGAGTAGAGCAGAGTAGATTAGAGTTAAGAACAGTAAAGATTGCCCTGTACATTGTTACATTAGTCCAAATGTCAGCTGTAGCGCGGCGCCTGATGTTTAGATGTTTTGTCTTTTCTCTGAACAGAACAGAACATTGTGCGATAACGTCATCAGTCTGTTTGGTGCCACAGAGAAGTTCAAATGTTAAAAAGGCATCAGCTGATCTTCAGTCAGTCTGACCCCAGCAGAGAAACGGCCCATAGAGAAACTTTGTGTAAAGAATAGAAGCAGTTGTCTCATTATTTAACGCTGTGGAGATGTGAGATGTGAGCTGAGCTGGAGGAACTCACCACAAAAGAACCTTGTTCTTCTATATTTTAGGTTAAAAATTAAGTTGGTAGTTGAACAAAACGTATCTACAGCTTCAGTCCTGGATCTACAGCCTGAGTCCTGGATCTACAGCCTCAGTCCTGGATCTACAGCCTCAGTCCTGGATCTACAGCCTCAGTCCTGGATCTACAGCCTGAGTCTGTCCGTGGGAGACGATATTGAGAGACTCTGTCTCTGTCTATATGTTAATTTCACATTGTAAGTAAAATGATTCTTGAACGATATTCTACTTTTCTAAGTTTCACCTGTGAATGAATAGTCTGAGCATCTTTCTTCTGTCAAAGTTGAAACTGGCACTACAATTTGCAGGGGAGGAAATCCAAAAGACACATCACGGATTTGACTGATTGAACCAAATGCACACACCCACACACATGCACATGCACGCACACCCACACTTACATATACAGTTGGAGTTGTCAAAGACTGACAGATGTGGTGTGTTTGGGTCTCTAGCCTCGCCTCCTTCTGTCGTCTGTTAATTAGCTTTAACCTGTTGTTGGATAAACACACATTGTGCCTCCAGCTGTGACGTCCTGCAGTCATTAAACACACACACACACGTCTCTCCTACAGCTGCTTTTGTGTTCAGGGCCATTTACTGCACCATGAGACTGGTGTCGTGGACTTTAGACAATAGCACTGAAATGAAAGCTCCAGAAGTCCTTTACAAACACGTTCAGTTGCTATAGGGACCTTTCCAGCTCCCTATAGCTTTAAGGAATAATATTACGCATCCGAGACATGTTAGTGCCATATCAACCAATTCGGACTCTGAGGAGCACAGGGACTGGCCTTCTGCTGGGACCCTGAGGAGCACAGGGACTGGCCTTCTGCTGGGACCCTGAGGAGCACAGGGACTGGCCTTCTGCTGGGACCCTGAGGAGCACAGGGACTGGCCTTCTGCTGGGACCCTGAGAGGCACAGGGACTGGCCTTCTGCTGGGACCCTGAGGAGCACAGGGACTGGCCTGCTGGTGCCAGAGTCAGGACTAAATATGGGAAGGCAGCGTTTCAGATTCATGCTTCAATCTGATGTGATTGTAAAGAACGTCATACCACCAGGATCTTTTAGAAAGAAGGGCAGAGTTACATGTTTGTGCCAGACGTTCAGGTATTAGCATGGATGGATCTGAAAACAACTCCAGGATGAGGCGTCATATGTCTCTTTTAAATCATTTGCCAGAATGACGAGTTATTGTGTTGTAGACTATTGTACATAGTATTTTTTATAGAGGAAACCTCGACAAACACAGACAAACTCCACTCAGAATATATGCAAACAAACACAAAATAATCCATAATATTCTCTGTTTAAATTATTAGCGAATGCATTTTTCATTTAAACGGAGAACATTTTAGAAAACAAGGAAATGAAAGAAGAGGCAGAAAATTTGAACCACAAAATTGAAATATATATATACAGACATACACACACACAGAGAGACTCATGTACACACACACACACATAGTTCCAGACACATACACAGTACATGCAGTAACTCCTTACATTCATACATACTTCAAAAAGTATGTACACACAGTATGTATATATATATATATATATATATATATATATATATATATATATATATATATATATATATATATTCATATTAGACATTGCTTTTCACTGCAGACACAGGACACAGACAAGCATTTTACCAAACATTTTCATACCTGCAGCTAAAGACGCTCAGTTTCTTTGAGTTCATATATATCTGACATTCATTCCCTTAAAAGTCACTTAATGCTTTACTTTTAACACATACTTTCTGATTTGCTCCTGGTGTGCAGTGCGTGAGTGTCAGCAGTGAAACACGAGCCGTAGGAGTGAGCGGGTCGTGTGGACTGTCATATAGTCTCACTGTAAACGCTTGAAACACACTGTATAACTTTATATTCTCCCTTTTCTCCTCAGACTCCTCTGGTTTCTACTGGCCCCGTTTCAACGCCGGCCCCACCTCAGTGTGTGAAAGTGACTGTGCGCCTCCTCTCATCGCACTCACCTTTGAAGACACTCGATACGGACAATTATGAGCAAAACACACAACAGGTTAAATGGATTATGTGTTTGATTTGGCCTGGAAATATACAGGATACTATAACTAGTATTATTATCATTCAATCTGGAGTCACTACATAGACTAACACGACTTTATAGTTAGCAGACATTATAAACAAGAATGACAGTTATTACTTGCTGTAGATGTAATGTGGTTACGATTTGGCGCTGAGACCGCGGCAAAGCCCTGTGACGAATGCAGAGAGAAAGTTAAAATATAGATTATGAGATGAAATCCCCCGAGGCCTAGACCCTGGTTGGTTGAGCTAAGAGAAGGGTTAAAGCGCAGATTATACTGACGAGACGGTGATGGGGAGGAGGAGGGTTGCTGGACGACATGAAAGCTGCCAGCTGAGTGTGATTGACTAATTGCTGATAATATTAATACCCACAATAATAATATAATATTATAATACCTACTGTACATTGACAATAGACCCCTTTGAGTGGTGCAGATAAGCAAGATGTCATATATTTCTAAAGATGCTATTGCTACACAAGTTGCACTGGTCTGTTGGACTTTGTTGAACAAAATAAACAATATTTTGTTGCTTAAGAATGTACTCAATCAATATACAATGTAATACTAAAATTCCATGTGAAAAAAAATAATTCTCGCTGTTCTCAGGTCAAATATTTGCATGTGATTAATTAATTATAAAGCCTATAATTAGTTAGATTAATATTTTGAATCGAGTCCAAATACGGGCGACTTCCTCATGTTGTTTGGGATCTGAACACAGTACCTTGCTGCACAAATTTGTTGTTTTGTTATGCAGCAAAAGCTAAACTTCAGAGGAAAATAGCAGAAATACTGTACAATGAGAAGAAACTCTTGAAACCAGGCTCAAGAGTTAAAGATCTCAAATCTTTGTGGTAACTGTCTCTAGAAGCGTTCTGACTTTGTGTGGATGTAGTGAGTGATGTCATTGCTGTGCCAATTTTCCAACAAGTTTTTTTTGGGCGTTACATCATGAGCAGCGTTGGAAATTCCTCTTGAACGTTACCTGTTCCCGTTCCACTGGGATCTCGAGTCCATTGTGTAGCTCCCGCTCAGATTCACAACATCACACACACATTGTAGAGAACGGTCTCCAGTGGATTTGTATGAGAGGAAACCATGAGTCAGGCCTCAGCCGTGGGGCAGCGGCAGCAGAGGTGGACGGGAAGTCTGGAGAATGGACTTTTACACATTTACAAATACATGCATCTGAACAGAAGGGGCAGGAATAAAGACTCTAATCTAGTCTTGTTCAGTCTAGTCTAGTCTATTTAGTTATTTATTTATTTATTTCAAAACCTGCACAAAACAAGATACAAATATCAATTATCAAATGAAAACTATGTCACAGCTTTTGACACATACATTTCCAACTCCCTCTCACACAGCAAAACATCAAATACAAATTACACTATCACTGTACAGTTACATAATTACATCAAATAGATAAACAAGACACACAAAGACAAGACGCACACTCGTTCTCTCACTCACACAGACAAGACACTGGCCCAAACACTCCCTGACCACACAGCTCTCTCCCACCGCTCTGTCCAGGCTCAGGGCATCACGCTCTGTCCTCCATATACAGTATTCGAAATGTCTCTTTCATATTGCTTTATAAATGCAGTCATTGAGCAGGTTTTTAATTCTTCTTTTAATCCATTCCAAATGTTAACGCCTCAGACCGAGATACACATAGATTTTAATTCTGTCCTAAATTTAGGTACATAATAGTTTGTTTTCTCTTAATCTGTAATTATGATGAGCATCTCTGAAAAGATTACTTAAATTGGACGGTAGAGAGTTTTCAGATGCCCTGAATATTATCTGAGCTAGTCTACTCTGGTCTACTCTAGTCAACTCTACTCTACTCTACTCTAGTCTACTCTAGTCTACTCTAGTCTACTCTACTCTAGTCTACTCTAGTCTACTCTAGTCTACTCTAGTCTACTCTAGTCTACTCTAGTCTACTCTACTCTAGTCTACTCTAGTCTACTCTGGGCGGCACGGTGGCTGAGTGGATAGCACTCTCGCCTCTCTGCAAGAAGGTCCTGGGTTCGAATCCCGGCCAGACCAGGGCCTTTCTGAGTGGAGTTTGCATGTTCTCCCTGTGTCTGCGTAGGTTTCCTCCGGGTACTCCGGTTTCCCCTACCACTAAAAATATGTACAATAGGTCTGGCATGCGCCTCCTGTTCGGCGACCCCGCTCCCATCTCTGTGTGGAGTGAGAGGACAAGTGCCCAAAAAAAATAACAATTGTAAACCGCTTTGTGACTCTGGTCTGTGAAAGGCGGTATATAAATAAAGCTTACTTACTTACTTACTCTAGTCTACTCTACTGTACTACTTTTCACTGGCCCTGTTTAACCAGTACCAGGTCCTTTGTTAGTTCCTCTTGGCCCTGGTACCTGTTTGGCCTGGTGTTTTAACTCACAGTAATTGGACAAAGTGCTGCTAGAAGCCATGATTACCAAGATACTAAATCGTAATGGAAATGCAACCAGGTACAGCAGAGCCGAGTTGAGTCTGGTGGAAACAGGGCTTTTGTGAAACGGACGTGACGAAGATCAGATCCAAATCCATGGCCATTGTGCCCGACCAGAAAAAGGTCCTTGTCCTCACCAGGTGCATAGGTCTTTCACCAAGTGGAGGAGTTCAAATAGAGTCTTGTTCTTAGCGAAGGATGCAGATTGATCTAGATTGACGGATCGGGGCAGCGTCTGCAGCCAGAGCTCTATCGGAGCTGAGTCCAACGATACAGCTGTTGATTTACCGCTCAGTCACTCACCTCTGGTCATGAGCTGAGGCGCGAGGCTTGGTTACACGAGAGGAGCTTGGAGTAGAGCCGCTGATTCTCTGCATCGAGAGGAGTCCGTTGAGGTGGATCGAGCATCTGTTTTGCGGAAAGGAGAGACGCTGACGAGCTTTCTTCACAACCTGATTAGTGTTTTTGTCCCATTTCAGTGAAACCAAGAAACTTTCTCCTCTACAATCTGCACTGTTAAGTCCAAATCACAAATCAGAAGTTCACATGTTGTAGATGTGTTCTGCTGGAGGTTGTTTTCTTTGCTCCACTGAACAACATTGTGGATTTCTTTTCTGAAAGAGGATTCATCATTATCACAAAGCTCGTGTTGGTCTCTGTGTGTTATGTCTAAGCCCACTTCCCATCGGCCTCCGCTGCTGCACTGCTCCTTTGTGCTGGAGTGGATCATGTGACGGCAGCAGACTCAACCCGGCGCCGGAACGCTCGGCTGGGGTCACCGCGGGGTCTTCATGTGGCTAACGACCCCGGCGGCTAACACACGAGCTAACGCAGACAGCACTGCAGTAGATGAGTGACAGTGACAAGAGCGGCTTGTGCAGGTTCAAACGCAGGACAGGGACTCCGGCTGACTTCACTTCTATCTCATGCTCAGGGTCAGATGAGGAACACTTTCCAGTCATTGTTCAGAGAAAATATGAATAAGTCTTGTTGTCTTGTTTGTGTTATGACCTATGCACCAGTGGCTCTTTTACATTGGCACAATTAGAACAATTGGACGAACTATATGAGACAAAGATTGCATTGTTCTGAGTGAACAATGTACAAAGCAGTTCAATTTTAACCATGAAATTGACTGAATAATAATATTGTGTGTTTGTGGACTGTACAAGTACAAATTAAACTCTGTAAATTGGAATAACGCTCAAAAGTCCATTTACTTCTGTTGTGAAACTCAATTCCATTCAATGTATTTTTGTATAGACTGCTATGAATTTTTTAGATTGATCAATGTTATCTTTCCCGCTACTGGACAGCGGAATTTCTCCTACGGGGATCAATAAAGAATCTATCTATCTGTGTATCTATCTATCTACAGTATCTATCTATCGTAAGACTTAGAGGACAAGAACAGATCAGAGAATCAAGCCGTTTTAACACAAGCACATAGGAGCCATGCATGACCACTGTCCATAAATGTCTCGGATCATCACTGTCCTGAGACTCTGCTGCATCTGCAATTAACCAACCAACCAACAAAGTTAAGAAATAAAAATAGTTGGAAGAAAATGGAGAGACCTTGCGGAGACCCATATTGAGAGAAGGGTCAGCTCCCACGAACGGACAGGCTGTATATTCAGGATTCCAGGAGATCAAATATACATGTACGTGAAAAAGTGGGACCGGAGAGGGACCCGAGACCACAGAGACTAAAGAGAGAGACCAGAGAGAGAGAGAACAGGGAGATAGAGAGAGAGAGAGAGAACAGGGAGAGAGACCAGAAAAAATAGACTGGAGAGATACCAAAAAGAGAGACCACAGAGAGACCACAGCGAAAGAGACCAAAGAGAGACCAGGGAGAAAGACCAGACTGGGACCAGAGAAGCCAGAGAGAGACTAGAGAGAGACCAAGATGTGACAGATGAACTAATTAACTAATAAAACTATTTTGTTAAAGTAGATACATGATTTTCTACCTAGTTCCAAATGGTTGTGGTTTAATACGTACCCAGCTTTAAATACTGAACTAGGTCATCACTAGTAGTCTATAACACAATAAAACCCCTCTTACCTCATGGCTGTTACGGCGTGACCCAACTGGCCCTGCTCCTCTTTTCCCAGCCTTCCTATCGATTTTGTTTTGACTTTAGCTTTCGTAACGCCATCGCCGGTGTGTATCGCGTTTCATAATGTTTACGTGTTCTCTCTATTACCGTAATGTGTCCGAAACACTTAACTAATGCAACAAAAACAGCGCTGGCCCACAATAAACAACATTATAGTGAGAGCCGTGTGGCCACTTACCCGCCCCCTCCCCGGCTCGCGCTCAGGCTAACCGCATTAGCGCCTCTCGCTCCTCTTAGTGCGCCGCGTGGAAATGTAATTATGAATTGGGGGAAATTAAAAGAGTTTTTCTAAATGGCTGCAATCCATCTCTACACAAATGAGCCCGCAATTATCACTGCGTTAATGTTGGTGTTCACATTT